TTATTATTATTATTATTATTATTATTATTTTTTTTTTTATTATTATTATTATTATTATTATTATTATTATTATTATTATTATTATTATTATTATTATTATTATTATTATTATTATTAATATTACTAATTTTAATTTTCTTTTGTATATTTATTTTTTCTAGAATGAAAAGGGAAGATATTTATCCATATTCATCAGAACATCCTTTTTGGCTCGATCCAGAAAGACACAATGCTGAGATAGCTTCATTCCATCTTGATAGGTAAAGTTTAACTCACAGCAATTATAACAATTAGGCCTATGATTGATAATGATGAGGATGATAAGGATTACATTGACGAAGCCAATGAAGAAATGTGTTGCCAATGTATAATAGTGACATTTAGAAAACTGTATCGGTCAGCAACTTTATTTTTTCACACTTAGAGATCCATCGCTCCGGATCCGGAGTCAGATTGGAAATCGTACAAATTTGATGTCAACGGTCCTATTCTTTATCACTGAACCCATCCTTCACGATACGGGTTTTGGTGTGAACGTAGCTTTAACCTGCCTAATTTGATTGATAAGATAACAACATTTATCCAGAGCTAAAATCAGTGGCGTATCTAGAATTCTTAAAATGTGGGTGCTGATGGTGGGATGCGAAGGTGAAATGGGGTGGGGGGGCTCGATGATCAGTTGGGGAGGGGCGCTAACTCGCAAAATAAAGTGATTTTAGGTGGTGATTTTTAACTACTTGACCGTGATTTTTTTGGGGGGAGGGGGTGGGGGCTAGATACCCCACTGGCTAAAATCCGGGTTGAGTTATCAAATTCATTACATGCAATGATGTACTAGCACACCCATTTATAGGCAAAGTACATGTATTTATCATTTAATTGTGATAGTGTGGATATAACTTGGGGAAGTGGAGTTGTTTTTGTGGTGGGTAAATAAATATATATATATATGAACCTGGAATAGGATGGCAATACTCCAACTCATTGTTAATTTGTTATTTAGGATATATATAGAAGGCCTTTCTTCCCTGGTCTTTGTGTCCGCATACTGCATAAGAGCAGGCAGCCCCACAAGGCACCCATACTCCTTGGTTAAGAATACAGAAATGTTCAATGACACAAGCGAAATGCACATGGGGAAGGATTGAAGCCGGGATACCAAAATTTGGAACATAAATATTAAAAATACAAACATCATTTATGTTAAATATCTACCTTTCTTGTTTGTGTGATGCCGCAGAATACTCAATTTTCGTCGAAACGTGCCTATTGCTGGTCGTTTGATAAACATGACACAGGAGATTTTACACAAATGTGATGATAAAGCACTGTTGGATACATTTTTCTGGAAAGGTGAGTCTGAATTCAATGGCTTGCGTTTTGTTACTCCACCAAGGAGGTTATGTATGCACCACGTGACATCGAAGTGTTGTGGTGAATCCAAGCGCCAGTAGACTCTCAATCCCTTTCATTCTTTTTAACGTGTGTGATGTCACATTTTTAATATAACAAACATAAATCTGTAAAATACGCATTTAAAAAAGGAATTTAATTCTAAATATAAATTGTTGTTTTCAGATGGTAACCTTTATTGGGGAATGTCTGCCATGGTTTTGCAACGATGAGCATCCGATCTGTGGCATCAGTGACCTGCTGGAGGTGTCCGTTGCCCAGTTCCTCCCAAAGTGCCCTGACAGTAAATACCCAGTGAATGACAGGGCTTACCCGTGGAGCCAGGAAGTTAAAGAATCAAAAGTGTGAGTTGCTTTTATATTCTCTAATCTGCTATAAGGGAACTTAATGTAACTTTTCCACCAACTTTACGTTACTTTCTTGATCTCCACTTATAAGTCTAAACCACAAACCTGTATGTTTTACATGTGTCTCTGTATCTCTCCCCATCTAATTATCCTTTTTGACTTTTCTGCTTAGTCAAACCATTAGGCCAACACAAAAATTGTGTTGGCCACGCTTTTGAGAAAATTGGTAGGTCGGTAGGAAAACTTTTTTTTTTGCAAACCAAAATAGAGTTTACGCCTAAAAAGTAGAAAATACACAAATAATACAATTTTGGATTCGCATCTCGTACCATCCAGCAAAATAGAGGCTAGACCTTGGCCCCCTAGCCTGGCCAAGGCTATTCCAGACTTATAAATTGCTTGTTGTAGTAAGGGGAAGAAAAAGCTAAGATGTCCACTCTGAACTTCGTAAAACACTTTTTTTTTTAAATTATTTGGCGTTATCATTGACCATGGCTAATTAATCTTAGGTAATTAATCTCCACCATGGAATATAAATATGGTTACCCTGCAGTACATTCGGCTTTCTCCACCAAGGGGTAGGGCCTATGAATAATTAGACTGTGTGGTACATAGGCCTATCTCATACTATATAATAATAATAATAATAATAATGATAATAATAATAATAATAATAATAATAATAATAATAATAATAATAATAATAATAATAATAATAATAATAATAAAAATAATGTCATCTTATTAGGAGCACGTCTACCAACTCTTTCTCGAGCAGCCTAGTTAATTTTCCTTACTTTGTAACAGTTCTTTTTAAATATTTTGTAAATAACTTCTATCGATATATTGCAGTTACTGTAAAGTTTATCTGAATTATTTAAATGTATTTTTAAATACAATTGTTAGCAATGAATTATGTCGAGTGACGGGCCGTATAGAACTACATTATTGATGTAACATCTTAATTAAATTTGTTATGTCAGATATATATCAGATATATATATATATATCAGATATATATATATATATATCAGATATATATTTATCCGGATCAGGATTTTCTCGTGTAGACGCACGGCAGCTAACGGTTAGCAGGACCCGGATCCTGCTAACCGTTAGCTGCCGTGTGAGATCATACGGTAGCTTTTGCTGCTGTGTGAGAACATAGCCTAGCCTAGGTCGGTTTAATGTGTTATCCTGACTAGTACTAAATGAACCTATAAAATCAAATCAGACCATGAGTACCTTTCATCACCAAGGAATATATAGGGTTAAACCATACTCTACCCTTACATCATCCAGTAGGCCTACCTCGATTTTTGTTTATTAAAGAGTATATGAATACATTTACAGAATGAATTTATCATTTCAACTGATTATCTCTTTATTCAGGTGGAAGAATACAAATATCTGTGATCAAGTTTTAATGGTAAATAATAATAATTCATCATCATCATCATCATCATCATCATCATCATCATCATCATCATAATCATCATCATCACCATCATATCATCATTATTATTATTATTATTATATTGTGTGTGCTAATCACTTTTATTATAATTAATATTATTACTATTATTATTATTATTATTATTATTATTATTATTATTATTATTATTATTATTATTACTATCATTGGCATTGTTATTTATATTTACTATCACCATTTTTTGAGTTTTTGGGCAAGCAACTACCCAGAAGTATATTATTATCATACTATTTTGACTATTGTAGGATTTACAAAATAGAAATGATCGTACATTCTTAGACCTCATTGATCTGGCAATATTTGACTTTCTGATTGGTGAGTAATTTCAGATATTGAAAATAAAACACAGATGATAACACACACATCAGGGCGGATTTGGTGGGGGGGGAGGGATACGTGGGAACTTGCCCCACCCTCGATTTTGCCACTGCCGTCTTATATTTTGTGACAGAAATACAGATTGGCATACAAATACTAAATTTCGTAACAGCATATAACTGAACACGAATCGTATACCATTATTAAATACATTTTTATTTGTATAATTGTGTTACCTCTTGGCCTATATGATCCTCTTCGTTTAAAAAAGAACATCTAGATTTAACCGCCCCTGCACATTTTAACCAAATTAATGTTTATATTTAAATGTTAAAGGTGTTTTATATATGCGAGTACAAATATAATTTGTAATAACTAGTTTTTATCATTTCCTTTGATTCAAGTGAACTATGATCGTCATAGCTATACATCGTTAAATCAGTTAAAAAATAAAAGCTTTGTGACCATACTGGATAATGGAAAAGGATTTGGAAACCCTAATAATGATGAGCTCACAATCTTAGCGCCAGTATATCAGTGTTGCAAGTATGTTCCTCCCTTTGATTTTGCTTTCCATATAATGATGATGATGATAATGATGATGATGACTATGACGACGACGACTGCGACGGCGGTGGCGGCGGCGGTGGTGTTGATGATGATGGTTGTGATGATAAATGATGATGATGATGACATTGCTATTATAGCTGTGATCATGTTCATTAGATATGATAAAGATCGTGTTCATAATTATATAATCATGAGATTAATACTCTTTGTTATCATCATGATGATCTAAATGACAATGATATGTGATTATGATGATGATCCCTAAGTTGATATCACCCGTGTAAATAGCTAAATTATTGTGACAGATTAAATTCAATGAGTTTGCAATACCTATGTAATGTGACAGAAGCCAAACCCCTTAGAAAAGATTATCTTCCCTGCCCCCCCCCCCCCACCTTTTCGGACATCTCTGGATCCGTCCCTGATTTGAGAGGATGATTTAAGAGGGCCTACTCAGAATGCCGAACAACGCATGCCCCAGATTCTCAGGAGGTCCCCTAATGAGAGTGAGTTGTATTTGGTTAAATGTATATGGAACACCGTAAACATATACAAAAAATACATACGTGATTAAACATAGACTTACACTTTTTTTTAAATTATTTTTAGAGTCCGACGGTCAACATATTACAGGTTGAAGGAGCTTGAGAACAGCAAACTCAGCACATCGATGCGCTCGTCCATGTCGCATGATGCAATTTCGCCTATTCTTAGTGAGGCATTTCTTGCGGCACTTGATCGGAGACTTATGAACGCAATTGAAACCATACAAAAATGTTTCTTGGAAAACGGTGAAGACCGTGTGCTTATGGGCTACTAGCAATATATAAACAACTTAATTATTAAGCAAATGTGCTGATTGGTTAGTTGCTAAATATTTTATCAACTTGTTCATACTCCAACCAATCATAAATGAAAATGTAAGCACCTTGTGGATGGCTGGAAAGTCGCGTGTGGCACTATGCAATTTATAAGTATAAGCAGCCCAAAGAGGCGAGCACGAAGGATCGTATTTGTTTCTACTGCCCCTTCGGGGATCAGCAGACACTTATTATAGCAATCGTCTGTGGAAATTAACTTGTAAGAGTAAATCCAGTGGAGGTGCATGATGAGATATTGCGTCATAATGTAAAGGTAAAAATGAGCAGTCTTCCAAAATAAGCCAATGCCATACAGCCGGGCTAGACCTGTCTTAGAAAGAGCCAAAAAATCAACAATCTGTTACTTGTAAAGTTACTCAAGTGAATTGCCAACACAAAAACCGTGGATGAGTTATGAGTAAAAAGTAGCCACAAAAAACCTATTTCAACAAGTAGACACTGGATGCCTACTTGTAATAATTCCTTCAGTCTGTCGTCGACCAAGCAAACGACTCACTCACACAGAACGGATTATAAATTTGAAGTCGTCGTACGACACGTTTGATGCAGCACATACCACTGCAATATACTGTAGCAGATGCTACATACCCACTGCAATGTAAAAGATACCAAACAATGCAACAGATGCTACATATTACCATGGAGGAAATGTAGGACAATGCTACTCAACCTCAGCAACGTGGCACATGCTACATATTCTACTGTTAATACTTCCCACACAAAATAAATGCAGTAGATACCCCGGTTGTTTGTTAGTACATGCCCATATAGTCTTAAATGGGTATATGCAATGCAGCCAATGTTTTGCAACCCACTGTAATGTGGCAAAATATGGTACGGTACATCAAAGGCGCACCACTCGATATATAGGCCTATATAATAACATTTTTCACCTCATTAAAGTCAGACTCCGGAGGAAAAAAATTTTTTTTTTGATATGTTGTAGAACTGATTTTTCTAAGACAGAAAAAAAGTTGTTTGACGAAAAACTGGGGAACGGTGAACGAGATACAGATTTTTGAATATTTAAAAACTGGGGGGAAAAGGGGCGTAACCGCCTATTTTTACACCTTCTTCCCCCAGTTTTTAAATATTCAAAAATCTGTATCTCATTCACCGTTGCTCAGCTTTTGATCAAACTACCTTTTTTCTGTCTTAGAAAAATCAGTTCTACAACATATCAATTTTTTTTCCTCCGGAGCCTGACTTTAAGGCACATGTGCGCGATTTACCTAATTTGAATAAATGGTAAATAGATAAATAAAACTATAAATACATGCAGTATAACTATATTTATGTTGCAGATCGGATGAACATTATAGAACATATCTTAGAACTTCTAAGTGTTCCTGATTTTTACGATTGCCCATATTATAGTGCGGGGAGTTAAACAGTACCGTAGCTTACGATTGTGACGGCTTTACTGGTAAAGCCGTGGAGAAATTCTATTCGAAAGCAACCTGGCGATATTGAAATATCGGCAGCTTCGTTAGAAGCGTACACACCCGTTCCTAGTAATTACCACATTTATGGAGATAATAATAATTCTGTACAACAGTGCAATAATTATTACTTGAGCTATTGTATTATTAATTCACATCTCTTTCTTATGAGGGCGTCATAACACTTGTGTACAGTGTCTGCTAACCACCAGCGAATGCGTCTTGATACAAATGTAGCTGTGTATTAAGTATAATTGGCTCTTGATTTCTGGACTAATAAGTCGTCTAGTGACTTTCACCATCTTCTTGTTCATTATGTGAACAGCACCCTTTATCATTACATAATATGTACATCTGTATATGTAAGCGTGCCCGAAA